TAAGTGATTAATAATAGTAACTTAACTAGTAGCTATACTGTAATTTAATTTACTAATTTTTTTTTAAGTGGTTGCAAACTATTTATTTTAGCTACATTTAAGTAAACAAATTTAGTTGACTAACTTTCAACATTTTTTTTATTTAAATGTAGCTAAAATAAATAGTTTGCAACCACTTACCTTAAAAAAATAGCATCATTTGTTTCAGTGTATTATTAACCATTTACTAAGGATCTGTTTAATTATTTCATGATGCTATTTTTTTATAAGATAACTTACGGCAGATTTGAAAAGCGTTAGCATATTACTTAATAATCATTTGTGAACGTATAGTCATGTTTTGTAAATTATTAGTTAATCATCATCTAATCACCTGTAAATTATTTATAACTTAATCTACAAAACATAGATAAAAACATTAACATATCACTTATTAATAATTTATGAACGCATAGTCATGTTTTGTAAATGATTAGTTCATTATTAACTAATTACTTGTAAATGACTTGTAAATTAATTAACAAAACATACACAAATTGTTAGCATATCACTTATTAATCGCTTATGAATGTTTTGTAAATGATTAATTCATCATTAACTAATCACTTATAAATGACTTACAACTGAACGTTATAATAAAGTGTTACCTTTATTTGATTTTTTTCTAGTGAACTACTCCTCTAATAAAACTGAAGAATGGCCAAGGAGAATTTGTCTTGAGTGAAATGACTTCCTCATGACAGCCAATCCAGGTTTTAGATTCTGACAGCTCAAGAACAAGCGAGCTAAAGAGCGATGTGAGTCAGTCTTCAGGTCATGGGTCGCATCTCTCTGGGATCACTCCTGCAACTTTGAGTTCCCTTTCAGTCGGTCACTCTCGACGTCACGTCGCATTCGAGGGGCGGGCATACCAGTACAAGGTCCTGCCCTTCGGGCTGTCCCTGTCGCCCCGTGTCTTCACGAAAGTTACGGAAGCAGCCCTTGCTCCCATGAGAGAACAGGGCATTCACATTCTCAACTACCTCGACAATTGGCTCATACTCGCTCAGTCTCAGGAGCAGTTGTGCGAACACATGGATTTGGTACTTTCACACCTCAGCCTGTTGGGCCTTCGGGTCAACTGGGAAAAGAGCAAACTATGCTTTGGAGTTGGACTTGGTCGAACGGACAGCACGCCTCACGCAGGAACGTGCTCATTCGGTGTTGAACGGCTTGAATACATTCAAGAGCAGGATGGTGGTCCCACTGAAACAGTTTCAGAGGCTCCTGGGGCATATGGCAGCTACGGCGGCAGTCACGCCGCTTGGGCTGCTCCATATGAGGCCGCTGCAGCACTGGCTCCATGGCCGAGTCCCGAGGTGGCAACGCGGCACTTTCCGGGTCCAAGTTACACCGGCCTGCCGCCAAACCTTCACC